TCTCACCGAGTGTTGCTCTCTCATTTTTACTGTCATTTCCTAGTTAAGGAACGCTTTTTGGACTAAATCTGACTAATTCGGACTTTTTCTGACTATTTCTGGGAGATAAGGAACGCTCCTAATAGCACAGTATTTTGAAGTTAAGTGTTATTATGGTGATGCCACAGATGGCGCGCTTTAACGGCTTCGTTCATGTACGAATTGTGTGGCTTATGTTGCAGAATTGAGTAAGAATTCGTGAATGATTTCATGAAATCATGAAAACTAAAAAAAAGCTGCTTAAATATTTAGCAGCTATCAATACTAATCAAAAGTTTTGAAAAAATGTTATTTGTAACTTTTTATTTTTATAGTTAAATATCTAAGTGTTTTCTGATATTATTTTAGACATAATAATCTATTGGGGGAAATAGTGTATTTAAAATTTTTTATAAAGAAATAATGTTTACTTGATGTTGTATTTAGACGTAAAGATATATACTCGTATATCTATACTAATTATATAACGAGAAGTCCCTTTTTTTTGTAACAGGTAATCTCGCGAACGGCTGGTCCGATTTTCATGAAATTTTGTGTACAAATAACTTTCGGTAGCCACCATGTTTTAGGCTAAAAAAATTTTACTTTTTTCGGGTAGGTGGACCAGGGACCGGTCTATTCGAAAAAATCTTATTATAGTCCGATTTGCTTAAAATTTAGTACGTAAGTAGCTTTTTAGCATATATGATCCATTTTGTCCGAGAAGTGGACCAGGGACCGATCTGTTCGAAGAAATCTTATTTATGGTCCGATTTGCTTAAAATTCGGTACGTAGGTAGCTTTTTGCCTGGATAGGCTTATAGATTCCTGTTTTCCACTTTTCATGCAATTTCAAATATAAATAGCTTTAAGTAACGACCATATCAAGGGGCGAATTCGTCACTAGGCATGATTTTTTTGCGCCAATCAGAAACAACGGATACTGTCAATTATAATTATAATATACTAGCAGACCCGGCGAACTTCGTCCCGCCCAAAATTTTTATATAATTTATTGAATCTTTTTGGTCCAACATTTTCACCAACAATTCACGTTTACGATTTTCATTGGCACATTTGTCTGCTAAGATTAAGGTTTGGTGGTCATTTGCCGCTTTAAATAACCTAAGGAAAGTGTTATATCCGTTCTTGAAATTCTCCAGTTGTGCGTTATTTCATAGCACGGTTATTCGCAAAGCGATATAAATTTTTTCTATAGTTCTATAGGTTCTATAGTGAATGTCCTAGAAGCTTTACAGTATAGTAGGTGGCAATTTCAAAATGGGTGCGAATCATTGTTCTACAGAAATGCAATATACATATACTTTAGTCAGAAGAATTTTTTCTGGCAAAATCCTGAAAAGTGTCAAACTCGACTGAATTTAAATTACGGGAAATTAAAGAATACGCAAAAAGTGAGAATAATCTAAAAAGTAAAAAAAGTGAATTCAAATTGGAAGGAGGTAAAAAATAATTGATATAGAAAGTGTTTATTGTGCTTGTGCTTGTGTGAAGGTGTTTTGTACATACATTTACATTCTTATTTGACGTTAGCTTTGTTGTTGCCATTCTTTGGACTAAAAATTTGGTTTTTTGCGTTCCTTTACTTTTCCTGTTATTCTCTTTTAGTGAGCGCATTTTGCTTACGCTCTGACATTTTGACACTTTTCAGATTTTAGTCCAACAAGATAAGGAATGAACCTATTGTGACTTCAAGCTTAAACATAACTGTAATCCAAATAACAGGAATTTCAATAATAAGAATTGTAGCAGGCTGCGCTGTCAGTTAAAAATATTCACTTTTTCCTCTTATATATAAAAGCTGAGAAATATATTTACCGCGTAAATTGTAGATACGGTAAGTACATTCATTTGTATATTGGTATTATGGCATTTTTTGTAAATTTCGCATCACAATCTTATTTGCAGCCCATATTGTTTCTGGCTACCCTGTCGGAAAAATATTCGGATATTCCTTTTATGAGAACTGCTAAGCAATACGTTTAGTATTATTGGTATGATAAGCATATTGGTGTTTTGTATTAAATATGGTATTTTTGGTGATTTTCAATTCAACATTTCATTTACAGAAAAATTTTTCCATTAGATATACTGACATATTGCGTTTATCTCATAAAGTCTACATAAAATCGGTAACCTTATAATTTCAAAGAGTTATTTTGTTGATCGTAATGACCATTTTTACTACTATAGGAGTCAATTTAATATAATTACGCATAACAATGCCTCGAAAAAAGTGTATGGGAGTGTCAGCTGATCGCAAAGACGTAATTGCCTTCCAATAAACCAAGATATGCAACAACGGCAGATCTATTTGCAACGAGCTAGGAAATGTATGCGGAACCAAAGGCAGAAACAACGGGCCGAACAAAGGCAAAAATTCACTCCCCAATTTAGTAGTGTTTTGGTGCCATCATATTTTCAGCGATTAAGTGAAGATGTCAGTGCAAGGAGGCGGCAAGAAAAGCTACCAGAGATGTATTGCGGTGCACGTCTCTTCCTTAAAGACGATGAGATAGAATCAAATTGTGCTGAACGCATGGAGAAGATATGTGAGTTTTGCTCAGCTAAACTTTATCCAGGCGAGGCAGCTGATAACACTGCATCCATCTGTTGCCACAAGAGCAAGGTGAGTTTACCACCAATTTCTGTCCGCGATGAGCTGAAAGCGCAATGGTGACATCACAAAACACTATTTGGAGAATATCCTTAAATTTAACAGCAGTCTTGCGTTTGCTTCAGTGCAGGTGAACTTGCCAATATTCCGGGTAGAGGACCATTTTCTTTTAAACTAGACTAAGACGATTCTCACATATTATTGTTTCTGTTAAAGAAATATTTAATCAAAAAGTTAATTCTGAATATATTTTCTGCTCCAATATTGTATACAAAGTAAGTGACACCATGTTTCCCTCAAATCATGACACTCATATATCAGTCAGTTTGTAATATGTTTTTATGTATGTACCTAATAAGTATAAGTTCTGATGTACTATAAATCTCATTAATGCTTTGTAACATATATGTATAATAAAAATAAGGGGTTTATAAAAATAATTATTTCCGCGAACTATTAGAACAGTCTGCTTCTATCTGTGGCTACAAAGAGGGATGAGTTTACTGTGTACTATTTCTGCCTGCACAGACGGCGCATGGGCCCGCTTGTTTATTCTATTTGTAACAAAAACAATTTACTGACAGGAGGAAAAAGAACTTTGTTTATTCCAAAAATACAATTAAACAAAAAGTGTGATATAATTCATATGAAGAAAGTAAATTCACAAAATATTTTTACTTGTGAAAAGTCTAACAAAATATAAGAAAAGAGTCATCTTTAGTAACTGCTTAACAAATTGGATATAGCGCTTTTGTATGAATTTTATCTGCACGCTTTTTAACATGTTGAAAACATTGCTGGAAAACCTTAAAATGTTTGCATGGAACCATGGCGCAATAAACAGGTGAAGTAATAAAATAGCTTTCTCGCTTTATTTTCTGCCATTCGGTTGCCTTATAGTCAAATTTTAAAGGCAATTTACCTAACAAGGCAGTGCCAAAATATTTTTCTCGCTCTAATTACTTCACCTGGTACTAGGCCTGGGTAACGGCGAAAATTTTTTGGCGCTGACACACTAACTCCAGTGCCACTGTCGGAATCAGCACAGTGGGTTAGCGCAATGGCGCCTCTTCAGGCTAAAGCTCATTTCCTTTATTGCTGCACGCTGCACCAAAGTGATATCGGNTAACTCCAGTGCCACTGTCGGAATCAGCACAGTGGGTTAGCGCAATGGCGCCTCTTCAGGCTAAAGCTCATTTCCTTTATTGCTGCACGCTGCACCAAAGTGAATTAATACAAGGTTATATCGGTTTACCTTCTCTCAGACTTCTAAATTAGACCGTATACTCGGTACAAGAATGTTGGATGAATGGCGCAATAAAGAGGTGAAGTAATAAAACAGCTTTCTTGTTTTATTTTCTGACATTCGGTTGCCTTATAGTCACATTTTATAGGCAAGTATTTAAATAAGGCAGTGGCACCTGGTAAATTCCACTATGGGTGGGATGCATGCAATAACACCATACACAATAATTCCAATTACTTGGACATTAAAAAGCAGTTTCAGAAGTGAACTAGTGTCATTTTATTATTATTCTTTTTTCTAAACGGTTATAATGACAGCAGTGCATAATTGCGAAAGGAGTCGAGGGAGCGGGGGGCAGGGGACGCGAGCGTGGGGTGGCGCGCGCACGAGGACCGACACGACGCTGGGCACTTTCAAAATTGTATACTTACAAATCCGTCCATTTAACTTGTTCATGTACTACTTTTTGTCTAATGTAACTTGGTGTCTACCTACATACTTATGTGCACTATTGTGCTTTATTACTCAAGTGTTAAGTTTAAAAGTTGGTCTTATTGCTCAACGAGAAATGAAGTAAATCACATTTGTGTTATTTCACATTCAATTGGGAAATAACACAAAATTTGCGTTATTGCCATTTGTGTTATTTCGTGATACAAGTATCAAATATTATTTTAATATACGTATAGTATACGTATTTTATCTTGTAATTAAGTTTTTCTCTATTAAAGAATTCAAAGTTAAGAATAATTGGGGTAAGTTGTTGCTAAGTCAAGGTATCATAGCCACGCACTACAACTACACATAAATATGTAGATGTTCATTGCACTCTCTGCAATTCCCACTGTTTACCCTAACCAATGCAGTAGTCGACAATACTCAGTAAGTGAAGTAGTGCACTAGTCTGTTCAAATATGCCACCGACAGTATTTGAAAGTTCTGAGGAAGTGAAGTGAAGTATAACAAAATTAACAAATGGTTTGAACACCCTTTAAAACCCATTTAAGCACACCTCTAGTACATACACTGTACATATAATTGCATTTATATCTAGTATCTTTGATGAACAATAATCAATTACTTATTTTTGTCCAACAGGTTGCAAACCAAAAAAAATGTGGATTTTACATAGACATGGTACCAGATTACCAACAACAAAAACAATTAAAGCAGCACCGCGACTAGACATAGTAAGCAAGAAAATATTTCAATTTATTTGACTCATAACTTTTTGGTTCTAAGTAGTTGCGTGACGAAATTGTGAAAAATTATCGCGTTCGCCGAACAAGGCCGGACACTAATGCGCTCTGTCAAGAGGACCTAATATTTTTGGGAATGTGGAAATGGAATAACAGTATTACAGTAGATCAAGAAGAATATTTGACCTCACAGGTAAGATACATACATATATACATTATACATATAATTATTTGTCTAGCTCCTATAGAATAGCGAACACTGCAAGCCATTTTTTAAATTATACATAAGTAGCTTTACATTTTGGCACAAAGTTAAAAGACGAAACCTTCAAAGGTCCAAAAATCAGAAAAATTGCGAAACTTAAAAATCAATAGAAAAATAACGTGTGGAACGATTGACCCGAATAAAAACACAAGAGTGGTATACTTACGGTGACCATCCGGCCTTTATTTTAAAGGACAGTCCTTTATTTTAACTCCCTGTCCTTTATAATTTTTTTCAAAATAATGGACGCCTATTTTCCTTTATTTCTTAAACTATCCTTTAAATCAGCTCTGCATTTTTCAGAGGTAAATTTTTAAACACAGAATATGAAAAATAAAAATGTCCCTTATAAAATATAATAAAAACCTTCGCCAGTGTGACTTCATTTGGCCTTTTCTGAAATTCATTTGGCCTTTTCTGAAATACATTTGTGTTTTTCTGAAATACTGTTGGAAAAGGTGTAGACCACTATAAGTTATTGGGAAAGCTAGGTAATCTCTTTAAGTTCGGGTCGTTTTCTTTGCAATTATTGGAGAGATATTTGACAGGAGGGCTACACAAGGTTCAATGTGGTGAAAATTAGTCAAGCTTAAAACCCGTAACATCTGGTGTGCCCCAGGGTTCCATTCTGGGTCCCTTATTGTTCTGCACATTCATAAACGATATAGTGGAGTGTTGCCAAAGTTCATCCATCCATCTTTATGCGGATGACACTCAACATCAACAGCAGTTGTGAAGTTCGGACGCGTTTTTTACAGCTCTGCTATTTTTGGCTTTTTTCTGCGTTTAAAGTGAATTTTATACCTATTATTATAATTAAAAATCATTACCAGGTTGACCGAGCTTTACCCGGAGCGCATATACTTTTTAAAGTGTTCAAGATTTGGATGGGTTTAAAAAAATATTTTGGAAAAAAATGGATTTCGATATCTATTAAGTAAATTCCTTATTCTAAAATATAGGTGACAACCCTATTCCGAAATAGGAGGGAATAAATGGTACATATCTTGAGCGCATATGTACTGTGTATACATAAAAAAATGTTGATTGAAATTAACAAGATACAATTTTGTATTACATAGAAGCGTGGCAACCCTGATGGAAAATATTTTCTGACCAAAGTACTCAACAATACCTTTCGTTTGATATCCATATTGCGATGTTTCAGATAAATAAATTGTGTAGAATTGAAAACAAGTGGCAACCTTACACTACTATCTTAAGGGATAAGATTTTGTATATAGGAAAGCATTTTCCTTCTCTTGATACCCATAAATAGTAATATTTTCCCCTTTTTTTAACAAAAAATTAAATAAATATGCGATTCAAAATACGTGGCAACCCTATTTAAAATATTTTTAAATTAGAAATCTTTAAAATATCTCCATTTGATACCCATATTATGATGTTTTAATTGATTTGTAACTAATTTCGAATAGGAGTCCACTTTGAGATAATGCCTATTCAGATAACCTTAAAATCCAAAACATTATCTGTGTACAAAATTTCATAAAAATCGTTAGAGCTGTTTCCAAGAACCTTATGAATATATATATATGTATACAAGAATTGCTCGTTTAATGTAATAAGATATAATGAGAGAGTAACTCTTTGTTACATTAATTGGATTGAATTGCTTTCAGCATTGAATAATAATAATAATATTAGCAATGCCTTGCTTTTGCAAACAAAAGGTTGATCGCGCTAAACCAAAAGTGCAATGCTCAAAATGCAACGAGTTTCTTCATTTGCTTTGTGTTGGCTTGAAACCAGCCGGTGTTGATTATTTGACCTCGTCAAATAGACCATTCTATTGTAAAGTGTGTATGGATGTGCGTCGTGAATCTCTTCGCTCGCTTCCGTCTTCCGTTGCTTTGAATGAAGGTGTTGTTGCTGAACCTGCAATTAATTTGAACTCGGAGATTATAAACAGTGAGAACTCAAATAATAGTACTCATGTGAAACTCTTAAATTTAAATTTTATTGCCAAAGAAATAGCTTCTCTTAGAGCTGATAATGCTCAGCTGATCTCTTCAGTTAAAGCTTTGTGTGACGAAAAAATGCAGCTTATTGAAAAAGTGAATGCTCTTCATGCGGAATTTCGAGCAATGCTGTCTAAAGTTAGTGATCAAAATGTGGCCTTTGAAAATCACACAGCTCGTTACGCGGTTGACGGTTTTGGTAAACGAACTACAAATCGAGCAAATGTAAACAACATGGAATTGGTTGACGCCGCTATTCAATCTCTTTTATGCCCTTCGTCCTCAACTGTTACGGTTGGCTCTGCTGTTAATTCATCTGGACCTACTGCCTGCAGCGATTCTGTTTGTACTGCTGTCACTAATACAGTTAATGCGACTTTGACGCCGTGTGTTATCTCCACGCCTTCTTGCCAGCCAGCTACACTACGAGCTAACAATTCTGCTCCACCCACTCTTGCTAAAAGCTGTGCAGTTGTTAGTAATGCTGCACACTCATCTTCGTCTTCTGTTAATCTTTCTGCTGCTGTCACAAATTTAGTGAGTGCAAATATGACGCCAGGTGTTAACTCTTGCCCTACTTCATGTCTGCCTGCTACATTGCGAGCTGATAATACTTAGTATGTTCCAATTGCAGTTCGGTTTACAGGATTTAGTCAGAACTTACAGGAAGTCATTCCTATTGACATAAAACCTGTAAATGGGAACACTTTTGAGAGAGTAACTGAGCAACTGTTCCTAGTCAGAACATAATGGAAGTAAACAAAGAAATATTTGAATACGTATAGATTTTAATAATTAGTTAGTTGGTAATATTTCAGCCAAATCATTGTTGTCCAAATGACATGTAAACAACCGACTGACGTTTTTACAGGAAATAGTGCTTTTTGCGCTCCCGTGCACTTCTGCATCTGTTCTCCTTTTACTCTCACTTGAGAGAGTAAAATTGTTGTTTGACAGTTCCACAGGTTTTAGTCCGAAGTTCAAAGGAACAGACTAACTGCTGTACCTACTTCTGTTGATAAATGTGATGCTCACTCTTCTTCGTCAACGTCTACTATCCAAGTTAATGCTCCCGCTTTCACATCATACTCACAAGCAGTAGAAATCGGATCTTCTGTTTCGCCGTCTGTTTCGCATGATATTCGCATGCTCTATGCCGATAATGCTGCTAGTATCTCCAACATCTCTCTTGATGCTGCTAAAGTAAACAGTGGACGGTGGGATACTGGGAACAGAACAAGCAAATTCTTGTTGTTGGTACCAACGCTAATGCGGATTTAGATGTTTCGATTCGACCTAAATGGCTGCATCTGTCTTCTTTTGCAAATATTGTCACGGAAGATAATATATTAGATTATGTAGTTAATCATGCTGGTATGCCTAAAAACTCATTAATTTGCTATAAATATGCAGAATAGCAAACGTCAAGCTGTGAAGTTCTACTTATATTGTGCTCTGATTTGTCTTTGTATTTTGCTAAGTTTATTGTGCTAATTTTGAGTAAAAGTTGCTATAAAAAGTGCCTACGAGCATCTTAGTGTGATAATAATCGAAGCTAAGTGAAAGTTTTGTGATTTTTTTGGTTTATATTAAATTTAATTAAATTTCACTAGCATACATCTAATCTTGCCGAGTCATTTGTTGTTATCATTGTTGTTGTAATTCCTTTGTAGTTAACTGAGATCGTTTCTATTTTTGCACATTTCTTTTTGCTCTTTTTGTTTACTTCTTTTAGTATTTCTTGTCACAGCTGTTTGCGTTGCGTTTATTAAGTATTTTGCTTATCTTTTTATTAACATAAGTGTTATTAAATCTTTCAATATGAAGTGTGATCTTGATAACTGCCAAATTAAAAGCGAATCTGAACGCTACTTATATAATTCACTTATCTGATATATCAAACGTGCTGGAATGAGAGTTAAAATCCTGGCATAAGCAACGGAGTGGGTCGTGCAATTCAAAATTGGTTTTACAAGCTTTCAGAAATATGGGACAAAAGTGTCTTGATACGCGTGAGGGAACATTAAAGCTTACATCAGCCAGAAGAGACGGACTTGAAATTGAGCCTGTCAGTAATTTAACCATAAAAATTATACCAAACATTTCCCTGCGACTGGCAAGTGTAGGAAGGTTAATAAGTTTTAAGCGACTCGTATAAGGTGGAAGACTATATTGAGAATCCCATCGGAAATTTCTTAAAGCAAAAAGTAGGAATGGTTTTTGAATTGATTCTATCTTGTCTGAGTAAATTTGATACCTCGGATTCCAAACCACCGAGCCGTATACCAGAATCGGCCTAACTAATGTTGTAAACAGGGTTTTAGTGATATAAGGGTCACTAAATTCTTTTGACCATCGTTTCACAAATGCAAGTACACCTTTAGCCTTGTTGACTGTCACATTAATGTGA